GGGGCTAAAAAATGACTAAAAATGCATATAATCACTGTAAAAATTCTTGTCAGACTTTCAGAAAACCATTTTCCAAACACCGGAAAACTGTTTTCCACTTTCTTGCATATGGCCTCATACATTTTTTGAGGAAGAGTTTTTGTTTTTTATTCTATTTATGGAAAGTTTTTATTCTATTTATGAAAAATAGTGAATTGTTCAAATGAAGCAACGATAAAAAACTTGTACTATAGCCGTTATACATATTAATAAAAATATCTGCTTTGTGTGAATTCAGCCTAAAACTGTGACTTCAGTCGATTATTGTCACGACTCTTCCGTATTTTGGTCAGTGATCACAACATTCATTTTCAGGTGATGATAAACCTACGAGCAGTATGCAGGTCTTCAACCGGATTGGTTCACATCACACGTGGAATGAAAAAATACCCGTTTCCAGTGACATTTGAAAGTAAGCGAAGTGCAGCTATTCGGCTCGTGGCCTTATTCAATAAAGGATTTTTTTAAAAATATTCTTTCTGAACGTTTTCACCATACTTCTCATGAATTTTTCAGACGTTCGCTTTCCACCAAATGGTCAACTCAAACTTCCTGTGATGCCAGCTGAACCGGTCTATGACGCAGAGAAGGGAGAGAAAAAGTGAGAATTCGGATAACATAGTTTTAGTACATTCTAACAGTCTCTATCTGCAGATACAAATCGACAAAACGAATGATTGAAGCAAGAGGTGTGGAAGAGGTTCACACAGAATTGATTCACGAACAGTATGGTCTCGCTGCCGTTTCAGGAGGATTCATCGACAGTGATGACTTCAAATTCCTTCAAGATCGGATCAACAAAAATCTAATTGACAATCAGTTTGCAGTGTGGCGAGTCGATGAGCCATGGCTGCCTAGAACGAAGAAAGCCCAGGGAACAAGACTGGGAGGTGGTAAAGGCTCTATTCAGAAGTACGTAACACCGGTTAGAGCCAATAGAATCATTCTGGAAGTGGGAGGCTACATCACTGAAATAGAGGTTTGTCATGAAACATACCGAAGTTTTCATTAATTCAATCCAAATTGTTATCAGTTCCATTCGCTTGAAAAAATATTTTCAGGCAAAAGCTTTCCTCCTCTACCTGTGCGAACGATTCTCGTTCCCTGTAGAATTTGTCAGTGAAACAATGTTGGCGGAACGACGTCGGAAAGCAGAAGAAACACGAATGATGAACAAGAACGTATTCAACTGGGACCGTGTCATCAAATACAATATGCAAAATTGTAATAGCTGGCTTTCGAGCTACGATGTGGCCTGGAAAGGAAAATATCGATAACCTCATTTTTACTTGTTTCTTTTTAAATTTAGATGTTATAGTCTTGTTTTGTTATCACTATGAAGTTTCAAATAAAACGCAGGTTTTAGTTAGATTATTCAACGGCTTACAGCCTCCGTCAATTATATTTTTATTAAAGCAAGAGGTTTCAAATAGAAAAATGAGTTTTCAATTTCAGCTCGTAGTTTGGATGGCACTAGGAGAAGATGATATCCTATCGGTACCGTTTAAGTAAGAATCATTCTTCATTAACCATCATATGAGAGAAAGATTTCCAGATACTTCGTCTTCTGCATTGGCGGTCTCCCATCATCCGCTCTTTTAATATGTGTACTATTATCCCTTTTCCTTCACTTCGATCAGGCCACGTCTACCCATTGCGAAGTTGCTAATTGGTTACCATCAATATCAGCAGCTGTTTCTACATATACACCTGAAAAGTACATTTGGAGAATTCTCATAGGATTGCACATTGGTCCTCGTCTAGTTGTAGCTGTGGCATTCCGCAATTTCTTAATGAGCTCTCCATTGAGACCGTACACCGGATCCAAACAGTTCAAATTTCTATGTAACATAGCGTGTGGATTGAATCTTCTCGAAAACTTCTTCCTGTTGGCTCTAACTTCGATTTCATCAAGCGAAGATCACTGTAATATTCTTCAGTTATATGTCAGTTCAACAGACAATATGTTTTCAGCTCTTCACGCAAAATGCTTCGGAGGATTCGCAATATCTTCGATAATCTACATGATATTGAGCACTTGGTTATTCAGTGAATCGGGAAGAAGAAGAGCAACTAATTTAGTAGGTTTATGCAAATTGAGAGAAAAAAGATATAATTATTTTTTAGGGAGAGAGATCATACGAATATAAAATTCTCGGTGCTTCGATTTTTGTAGTGTGTTTCTTCCTCGGCGGTTATCTTTATTGGAGGCATAACACCTACTGTGAACCTGGAATCTACACACTTTTCGCATTGGTAGAATATTCTGCGGTTCTTTCGAACATTTTCTTCCACTGCACCCTATACTACGACTTCCATGGAAAAAATATCGCTTTAACATCCTCATTCGGAAGCAGCCATTACAATCTTCTGCCAACTCAAATCGAAAAAGATACTTGATAATTGAGAAACTGGGTTCTTCTTATTCTGTGATGACATGATATTTATTTAACGCATTATAGCATTATTTATAACAACAGACTGTTTTAAGTTTTGATCGCTTCGGGTTTTGTTTCACTTGGTTTTTATTCTAATAAATGTGTTTTTCACAACCTTTTCTGTCTGAACAGAAAAATTCGTCTCTGCTTCAGTTCAGAAGACCCAGAAAAAAACTAGAAAAAATTAGACGACTCATATTGACAAAGACACAATCGTCTAGTTCTTGTTCGAAACTATCACTCTCGAAACATGATAAAAACGATAAAACAATTCCAGGTCAAATCATTTATTGAGAACTCATGATTATAGTCATATCCAGGGTAAATTATCAAAAAAATTTATTTTTAACCAGGATTTTTGAAATGTTTGCATCGCGATGCATCGGACCGGCAAAAATGACCGGAGAACGGACTATGTACGGATGACGGGCAAACAAAAATCAAGAAGTATTTCCAAAAGAAGAATCGAAACGATGGAACAGTGATGAAAAAAGAAACGGAGCTCATCCACCATTCTCAGCCAGAAAATTGTAATTTCATTTATGGACGAAAATAAGTATTTTAAATGGACAACGGACGGTTCTGGCCAGAATGGTGTTCCCAAAACCCTTGCTAATTGTGAAACAACAAATTCAAGACATAACCGGAAGGACTACCACAAAAACTAGAACAACAAAGGCGCCGAACCACAAAGAAGATGACGAAAAACCACAACCGCAGAAAAGAAAAGCGCGCAGAAAAAAAAACAAAAAAAGAAATCACGAAAAAGGAGTTCACATTTTTTTGACATGACGAAGACGTCTCGGCGCTGCTTGTCCCGTCACAGTCGAAATCTAAAGTTGAACGAGGTTATATTGATTCTTCATTTATAGCAATTATTACTCCCCCGATTGCCTAAAAACTCGACTAAAAGTTCCCATTTTCTCACCTTTCTTTTATTCCACTTTCCATGTTACTTCGATTTCGTATCCTGTGCCAGCCAACCAATACTGGGTTGCCAATCCTGTAGTTGGTGCGTCCAGGGATCCGAACATCTCCTAGAATTCAAATGTTGGAAACTAAACTCAGACTTTCTTTTATTTTTCTAAACCCCGGACGTTTCCCCCATTTTTTATAATTGGGTTTGAAATATAAATTTTACTTCATAATACCAACAAAAAATTTCCGAGAAGTTGTTATCAAAAATCAAAAAAACTAAAAAGTTTCAAAATCTACCGTTCCCATTTTCTTACCTTTAACCTATTCCGCTCTTCTTGCCATTTTGATTCGAATCCTGCCAATCCTGCAAAATGCCTCGGGAGCCGTCGTCGAAGCAATTTAAGTTGGTGGATCCGGGATACCACACAGCTCCTGAAAATTGAACATTAGAAAGAAATACTGATTTTTTTAATCCGTTTCTTGATCTGACAACTTTAAAATTTCCTAATTTCCCGGGAAAAGTTCTCGAAAAGTTTTTTCAAAATTTTACGAAGTAGTTTTTTAAAATAATCCCCGAGAAAGCTTCGAAATTTTACCGATTCCTATTTTCGGAAAATGATTTTCCCTAATTTCACATTTTCTATATTTTTTGAATTTCGGATATTGCCCTTGTTTTACTATCATTTGTTTTGAACTGGCACCTTACAGTTTTCATTTCATGCCCCAAAAAGACGTTTTCTAGAAGTGGACATGAAAAATTTACCAAATATTTTTGGCTGAATACTTTTTGTGATGTTCTTAAATTAATTTGTTTTTATTCTTGGAAACAGTTTGAATATTTCTGGTGTTCAATTTTTGAAAGGCGTCTGAAAAAGGGAAACGTTCATTTTTTGAAAGTCAGGTTCCCAGGTTTTCATGGAAAAGAGTATGAGTTATTGCAAAGATGTGATCTAGGAAAAATTTCCCTTACTACGCATATTTTTCGTTTGAATCAATCTGGATTGGCTTCTTGGTTGATGCTGAGTTACCGTATTTTCTTTAATGGCGAGAAGTGGTGAGGAGAATTTTTTCGAACATCAGTAACTTTGTTCAAAATCACTCAATTGACTTGAAGTTTTGCATGCTATGAAATCCAAAAACATAAAAATTTTTTGAAAATTTCTCATCTTCAGAATTTTCAGAGCAGTTTCAGATGTAACCGTGGTCCGAGAATCTAAAAAAAACTTTTTTCAGAATTTTTTCTGGCTTTGATTTTAGATGTCAAATATTTCTCAGTGTTTAAATATGCACCAAAAAGCGTTTGAAGAATATTGGAAGTCGGGCTCTCGAGTTATGATGCTCAGAGCACAAAAGGTATGTGTCGGCATTTTTGCCATAACTCAGCTGAAAATTTATTTTTGATGGTCAAAATTTCACAAATAATGAGTTTTGAGTTGTTTATTAATTTTATGTTCAAAGTTTTCCAATTGTAAAAAAAGTTTTTTTATCAGTTTTAGGTTTTAGAAATTTTCCCTAGAGGTGAAAAAAAGAAAAAATTTTCTACAATTGGAAAACTTTGGACATAAAAACACTGAGAAATATTTGACATCTAAAATCAAAGCCAGAAAAAATTCTGAAAAAAGTTTTTTTTAGATTCTCGGACCACGGTTACATCTGAAACTGCTCTGAAAATTCTGAAGATGAGAAATTTTCAAAAAACCGATTTTTATGTTTTTGGATTTCATAGCATGCAAAACTTCAAGTCAATTGAGCGATTTTGAACAAAGTTATGGATGTTCGAAAAAATTCTCCTCACCACTTCTCGCCACTGTATAAGCCCACCGACATTATCAACTTTGGCTAAATTTATCTCGATTCTTGTTGAAGACATCAAAAAGTGGTCATTCTAAGTCTTTTTTGTACTCATTTCAATCTGTCATAACCCTGACTTGAATGTCCACAATATTGTTAATTTTGAGAAAGATACATGTTAGTTGGTGGTTGCCGAAAAGCGTACAAACGGCGGCTGAAGATTGAAGGGATGGCTTCAACTTGAGTATTTCAGCAAATAGGGAAATCTTGTGTAAAAACGTATGGCAATTATAAATAATTGAACCAAAATGTTCTCCTTTGCTTAGAAAATAGCCAATTCAGATAGATTTTCAGATGCTACTAATTAAAAAAAACCCCCTAACTTCTTTTTGTATACACCGAATTGAGCATTTTCATACTCTCCATCCTGACTCTTTCCATCGTTTTTCTTGTTTCTCAGAACACACTCACGTCACTTCGTCATTTTCTTCCTCTCACTCCTTTCTCCGCTTTCTGGCTCCGAATCGATGTTCTTCTTATGCCGCCCGTCTTCGTGCTTCTGGCTCAGGAGACTCCGCCCACAGCTCTCGCTCTCTCACTTTCTCTGGCCCTTCGTCTCTAACGTCGTCTTCGCTTCTTCTCTCTTCTCCATTCCCTTTTAGCTGAATGCGTTTGTGGAGAAGCTCAGAATAGAGCTCACGGCTCTCTCTTTCTCTCTCTCTCTCTCTCTCTCTCTCTCTCTTTCTCTCTCTCTCTCTCTCTCGTTTTAATTTTCACATCAAAGTACTGAAATTTCAAAAATTTTTGTGAGCCACGTGAATCTTTTGAATCTCCCAAAAGATGGACCGTTAAGTTTTTGGGAGCAACGTGTTTTTTCAACAAATATAACAGAAATATTAACACTTTCTGAATATTTTTCCCAAAATTAAAACTTTTGAAAATCCCTACTTGTTATATGCTAAATATCGAATTTGTTTCCTCTCTTTTCAAAACGATACTTTCAGGTGGATATGTCTTTAAGCAAACAGGAACGTCCTGAAGATCGTCTTTCTGCTCTTGATTTCCTTGGAGGTCATCAGAAGATCAAAGCTTCGAAAAAATCGGTAGGTAAAGGAACAGTAGGAACGATTTAGTATTCAATTGACTGGATATCTATATGCGTTGAGGAAACTAACTAGATCTGTTTATTTTTTACTGATGAGATTCAATCACTTTTCATTTGTCATTCATCAGTTATCAATTAACAATTAATACCTGTAACAGAAGAGTCCTCTAACTTTCATCTTTGATCCTATTTTTCTCGATTTCTATAAAAGATATAGCGTAAAACCTGTATTAGAAGCCCCCCTCCCTAATAGCGATGGGCTTAGAAAAATAGAAGTGCCCTTGTAATAGAAGGACCCCCTTCAAAATTTTTTTTAATTTTCCGTACGTATTCAGTGAAAAATCATCCCGAAATTTCAAATTTACAGAAAATTGTTTTAAAAAACACTCTATTTGCTCAAAACTTGCTCAATTTTCGTGAAGTTGGCAGATTTTCATTAATTTTGAACGAGAGTTTACCGAATTTTTCGATGAAAAATTTTGGGAAAAGTCTGGAAAAATAGAAGGGCCCCCTAATTGAAGTGCCCTTGTAATAGTACATAGAAGGGTTCTCCAGAGGTAGATTGGAACAATAGAAGGCCGGCCCTTCTAATACAGGTTTTACGATAAAGGAGTTTTCAACCGATGTTTTGTCAGTTGACACAACTTCAATATCTAGGCATCGAGATAATCGAGCTCAAACTTGACAGTGTGGGAACCCTTTTACAGGCTTTACGGTAATTTGAATTTGAATTTTAACCCTCGAACTGGTTCAGGAAAACAATCCAAAAACTAAAAAAAGAAAACGCTCAGAGTCCAGAGCTCTCAAATAGATGGTACAGTAGTGTAGAATTTATGACGCCAGAGATCATTTTCTCATTATTCTTTCAAAGTTTCCAATTTCCAGCGTCATCAGAATGCCATCGGAGTGACATCGTTCTTCGGTTTGAACATTAAACAATTTTTCACATCTCGCATTGGAAAACCAGCTGATGCCAAAATTAAAGAAGGAGAGAAATGTGCGATAATCGAGAAATCATTCTGCGAGAGCGACGATGAGCAGGTCAGTTTTCCTGGAATTTTAGACTCATTTTCTCGGAATCTCTCATTAGGGGGAAAGGTCCTTGCTTGCTCTTCTTCTTCTTCTCTTGTGACTGAACTTTGATACGAAGAAACAGAGAAAAAGGAAAAAGGAAAAGGAGAAGGAGGAGCGGCATGCTAAATTTATGGCATTTCTGGGAAGAGGTGGATTTTAGGAGATTGCCTTTTATTTGATGAGAAATGAAATTGAAACGGCCTACGGTATATTGCTTCTTGGGATAGATGGTGAAATTTAAAAAAAAACCAATTAATAGTCTTGAACTTTTAGTTTCCATGGCTTGCTCTTCCCGATGATCTTCGTGAGACAATCGTCCACAAAATGCCACTTCAATCTAGAATCAACTTGGCTGCCACTTCCAAAGACGAACGTGATTTCGTTAAGAATATGAAAGTAACTTGCAAATTATTTGCAATCGAAGACTTGGCCGTTCGCAGCACTAACATCCGACGCTATCCAGGGCTCTTTGATAAAGTTTATGCACATTTCGGAGTAAGTTGAATAGGTTCAGGATTTCGATTGAATTCAAATTTCTAGAAAAAGTACTTCGTAAACTTCCTCTGTGACTGGCAACATGATATTGCCATCTGCTTCTGTGAGCAAGTTCGTCCATTCAAAGTGGTGACTAAAGTCTACTGGCTTTCACCATTGGGAATCTTAAAGAAGACAATTGTCCCAGGAGTATCAGCATATGATCTTGCTGTTCAAACAGCCAGAGACTTTTTCAAACTTCTCACTGATGATTGCAAGAAATCATCAGTTGCATTGTCTGGATGGCCAAAAGACGTCTTCGAGATTCCAGAACTCCGAAAGAGCCACACCATTGGTATCATCTCAAATTAGAACTGATTTCCCATTCTTCACCTTTTTAGGTTCTTGCTACGATGAAGTCGAGTCTCTTCACAAGACATTGGACTTCTTCAAACCATACAGTTTCGATTGCTACATGCATAAAACATCAATCAAATACATGTGGCCATTCTCATTCTACTACGTTGCTCGACATGGAATTCCAGGTTGGTTCAGAATGAAGGCTAAGGATCATGCACTCAGCAACCAGATGCTCGAGAAGGACATTCAGATCATGATTCTTCACGATACATTGATCAGGTATAACATTTTTCAGAATACTGAAAATCAATTGAACTCTTTTTCAGCGTCGAATCAATGAATGAGTTCATGAGAAGATGGCAGAATGGACAAATCTCCGAAAAGTTCTGCTGGTGGGCAATCAGTACTGTGATGGGCGTGGAAGTGGAAGAAGTTATTGATCGACTAAATGTCATTTTCGTCGAGGAGAAATACGGACCAAAATAGTGAGATTCCGATGAACTCACATGCCTTATAATTTATTTTTAGCAACTTCTCAAAACGAGCCTCAAAGAAGTCAAAGCCACCACAAATGGTTCGAATGGTCAGATACGATATTCAGAGCACCGTCAATCGCAATGCTTATGGAACCATCATCGTTCGCGACAATATGGTCATGTTCGGAAATTCAGGTTGTGCTCCAAAAGTTGATGAGAGAGGATTGCTCACCTACGCTTCGAAGTCATCCGTTCACGAAATCCACTTCTAAATTTATCCATTTTTTCTGCATGATTTTTTATGACTTTCTCTATTGCTGATTTTTTCATCTATCGATGATATTCTTTATCTCTCCCCCTTTTTCCGAATCTCGATTAATTTGATCCTTGTGTATTTAACCTGATTTATTTCCATTCTTATAACTATCTTTATTAGTATATCCAGTTATTCATTATCACTTACCAGATCTAATAGTAATCAACGAATCTCAATTTTTCCGTTTGGTAGATCCAAAGCTTCCTATGTTTATAATGTCTCTCCATTTTAGTGAATTCGAATTTCTATCGCTTTTTTTCTTGCATGAAGTTTTAGAACAAAAATAATTAAACTTTATTTACCAATTCAATGCGAGAAAATGTTGAAAAAGCAAGAAGAAAATACACATGTAATAACATATATCTGTCCTACAAACGTCGCTTGAATCCTCCAGCACGGGCTCGCCCTGGTTTCTGTGGGAGCTGATATGTTATTCTCAAGTTCTCCAGAATCTTCACAAGTTTTCCTTTGCCGATTCTACCAAGAGGACCTTCAGATTTCTCGAGACGAACTAGCATTTCTTCCTGAAATATATTTGAATTTGATGAAACAAAGAGTCGGATCTAACCAATGAGACAGGCTGAAGTGAGAGGATGTGTTCGTAGAGTACAGAATTCTGTTCATCTCGGAGCCAGTTCAAAAACAATTTTTTCAAATTATTCGGATCCGTTGGTTTATCACTGCTACTAGTTGCAACAGAATCCTCGTCGTCATCTTCCTCTTCTCCAATGTTATCCGAATAAACTTTTGCAAATTCATGCTCATCATTCGAAATATTCAAAGTTTTATCCGCTTGACTATCAACATCGTCTTCTCCTACATCATTGCAGATATCACTTACAGTAGACGCTTTTTGTTTCGTTGGGGAGTTTTTCTTCTTTGGTGAACCTTCTATTCTCTCATTTAGAGATTTTCTTTTCGGAAGTTTTTTCGACTGTTTTCCAACAACGTTTTCCAATGATTCATCTCTAATTAACGGCCGAAGGGTTGGCGTCCCAACACATACTTCAGGATGTAATGTAGTATATGCTCTTTTCAAAATCTGAATCATTGCCTTCTTTCCTTTGGGACGCATTCCTATCTCTTTCATTCGTTCCTTCAACTCGGACTCATCCATGACATCAAACTGTGGCATGGGTGTTATATCATTCGTTTTAAGTATTTTTATATGCGATCCGAAAATTGGTTTCGGTGCGTTTCGGACGGGTGTGACTACAGTGATCGGAGGAGAAGAAGTACTTTGAATATTGTTTGGCTGAAGAAAAAACAGTTTCTAGAGTTTCAAAGTTATATTATCTACCTGATTACTCCATTCATCAAAAGAATCCATTGTTAAATTATCTCTCGATTTTTGTAGAGTAGAATGTGCAGTTGAATTGGGAGGATCGTCGAGAATAATATCGGCATCATGAATAGGTTCTTCTTCATAATCATTGTCTTCTCCGAATCCAATTAGTGGATTATCCGTCTCATAGAAATCTATAGGCTCAACAACATGCTCCATTGTTACGCTCTCCTCTACAATCAGATCTTCTTCTGGCACAATATTTTCCTCTTCTTTATCTTCCTCCAAAGGTTCATCAGTGGTTTTTTGATTGTTGGAGGACGATTTCAGTTCAATATTCACATGCGCTTTTTCTTCAATTACAGTTGCTTCCTCTTCTTTATCTTTTTCTTCTTTTAACAAGTTCTCCAATCCAACAGGTCCATACTTCATTGCCAACTCCTTGACACCTTCCTTTTCCTCTTTGCTCCACTCAATATTAGCTGTGAATACAAATGTCAACCAGGTTTTCAAAACATCTCTGGGTTGTGCAATTTCGATGTTTTCACTTCTTGGATGTATTTTTAAAAGGGAAGTTCTGTGTTTCAAAATTAATGAATGACATCTGAGATTATGTCCATCAGAAGAATTGATAGAAATCATTGGAAACGTTGGAGTAGATGTGTCATCTAGGGTTTTCTGCAAATCTGATGAGAGTTGTTCGAAGCGAGACAACTGAAAAGAAGCATTGTTTTTTTGTTAACTCGGAATTCGGAAAAGCTTGCCTTTCCAATAATTATCTTCATTTGAAAAGCATGCTCAGTAACTCCTTTCTCTTTTTTATTGACAATGTTCAGTGATTTAGAATGGAATTCATCTACGAATCGGGAATGCAAAGTGGTCAGAACTTCACACTGGCATTTCTTCGGAGCCAATTCAACAACTGCAAACGACCGTGGACGCTTCCGTCTTCGATTTTCCTCGTCGTCGGCAGTGATCCGGGCGAATTTGACATTATTCTTCGATAATTCCCAAGACTTTGGAGGTTCTTCTGGTTCCAAGAAAGGTTTTTCGATTACTTGATCATATCTGAAAACCATTCTATAGATATGGTTAATACAAACACTAAATAATCACAAACTTTTCTATAGTTTCTGTGAGAGTTTTCGATTTTCGCTGAGTTCTTTTTTCGGTTTCCTTTGCAAGCTGTTTTTGCTTGCACACTTTTTTATGGATGTCTCTGAAATAATTAAGTTTCCAACGAAAAAAAACACTCATACCGCCGAGAATTCATCCATTGTGTGATATCTTTTGAACAAGTCTGACATCTCACAACTTTAGCTTGAGACGGTGTTTCCTCATCATCACTCAGAAAGATTTCTTCAAATGGAGGCGGTGCATCTGAATTTCAGAGAAAAGTTATTAATCGATCAGTTTTTGGTGCATACTTTTGTCCGATTCGTCGCGAACTATGCTTTGAACACTTCCGAGCTTCTGTGGACGTCTGATTGAATTATTACAACTGATTTTGTTGATTCGGATTAAGAAATGCGTACCTTGGTGCTGATGAAACGGAATTCAGAAAAAAAGTCGTTTTCGGTGAGGAGTCATTCATGAGTAACTATAACAAAGAAATAAGATTGTTTTCCTTTCAAAATTTATGATATCATGTGCAACGCCATGTACGTATGACTGAATCTCTTGAATGGAGAGGACGATCATGGCATTTATTGAGTAAGAAACAATGAGAGGGAATCGTACTTGTGCACATTTTAGAGTCCAACAGAGATTTTAAATGAAGTTCAAGTCAGCTAATGTTAAATAAATATGTTGATGAAACTTAAAACAGTGCAGAACATCAAACTGGGAAAAGAGAAAAGTTGAAATATAAGATATACCATATAAGATATACCTCAGAAAAATATCATCGTTGAAAACGAAGGTTCAGAAACGGAATTAAAACAGATTTTGTAAAAGAATAAATTAAAATTGCATGATGTCAAATGTTCAACGATAGTATTGTTGTTGTGGTGGTTGCTGGTATGGAGCAGATGGAGGAGGTCCAGTACGTCCGGTGGGACGGTACGAAAGAGAACTTCGTATTCCTGGCGGTGGCTCGTTAAAATGACGTTTGAACCAAGCCATCATCCTATCCAGTGAGTCGAAATTCTGTTGACGGAACCGGATTCCTCTTGGCGAGACTGAAAAGTTTTAGGTTTACATTGAATTCGGTACATTCAAACTTACTTTTGAAATGTTCATGACGGATTCGATTGGAATTGTCGAACATATAAGAGATGCAGAATTGGCATGGTTGCCTGTATGATGCACTGAAGACATACGGCGATCGTCCCAATTCTCGGCGTTTCTCGTGTACAAAAGTTTCAACTTGATCTGTATCCTCACTAGTTCCTTGTGTGAAGAAGTATTTGTGAGTTGTAATTTCATGGGAAATTTGAATCATGGGGAGTACGAATCGGGCAATCAGTTCGTCTAAATCTTCGAAATCTTCCCCACCAACGGAAAGTGTACGTCCAATTGAGAAAACTTGATCTTTTGCCGATTCCTTGACGAAAAAGTTATGATAGATACGGTCGCAAATTTTCCAAGTGACCGAGAGTCCAGATTCTTTGTTAGCAGAAGGACGAATGATACAATCAGACCAGTCCATCTCATCAAGCATCTTAGTAGCGGCTTCATAAGAAACATTGTGGAAATTCGGGTGAGCAATAACTCTTTTCACTCGAGTATCTGCATCTTTCTTTTTCGTCGTCTCCTTCTTCATCGCAGCAACATCATCATCATACTGTTGTTGATCCCAGAAATCGTCACGTTCGGCTGGGGCGTCTTCTTTCAGATCACTACTCTTACAGCTTAGTAAAATTGAAAACTTTTCTTTGTTGATTGCCATCACTTTAAACCAGTAGGGTTGATTGAGTTTGACTCGAGTCAAAGGATTGTCTACATGGCTTGACGAAATAAACTTGTTCGGACAGAAAGCAGTCATTCCATTGTCCAACCGTACACGGATTCCACAAGCTGATCCTACGCATCCACCAGGGCGCCCCTGAAGTTGAAAAATTACTCAATGTTAAAGACAATCATTCAAATTTCACTCACTGCGTTTAATAGATGTTCCCGAACAGATTGTGGATCAGCTGCTGTGAATATTTTGCAGGAAGGACATATGTATTGATCCTCTTCCGTATGTTCGGGTATCATACTGTCAATGGTATCCCTCTCCACTTTACGGTACTGGACTGACTGGACAGTTCCCAACATTTTGCATCCAACCTAGAAAATAAAAAGGAAACATACTCAGATGAGCTTCGATGAACTTACCTTAACCTCTTTTCCGCTACGTGTAAGTAGATCATAAAGAGCTTCACCAGAAGGCTCTACGAAAGGTGCGCGAAGATCTTTATATCTTTCACTCAGCTCACTAGATATGTCGTACAATGTTGCCTTCTTCTCACCGAAACCTTGTCGATTGAGCTCATCGGCGAAAGCATCCAAATCAAGATCTCTCAGTCGTTCAGGTGTTTCCATAATCTCTTGAAGAGCAGCAGTGGGATCAGCGGAATCATCAACTTCTAGAGCATCCACTGCCATTTTTCTCGCCCATTCGTAAGTTTCCGGATGCACTCTAGATCCATCGAGAACTTCCACATATGCATCGGTTTTATCTGATACTCTGCGTGTATCAATCCGAATGAATCCAGCACAGTTCATGAACACTTTCGGGCCGAGTTTGCATCCTACGACAAGTTTCGATCTGCTTTCAATCAAGTTATCGTTCGCTTTGATGCTTTTCAGAAGTGATGTTGCCTTGCGTGGACCTAATCCACAGGTAAACTGAAGCATGTTGGTGTAGTGAGGGAACTCGGCACATTTGTTAATATCCACGCCTTCTTCGTTGACTCTATTGACTAGCTCATGATTGAGTAATTGAGCTAGAATTTCTTGATCGATATCTCTTTGAAGTGGGTGGAGAGACAGACAGAAAATATCTTCATCACTATTCCACAAATGTGCGTATTCTGGGATAGGATCAAGAAGCTGACGAGCAAGCGAGACAGCCTGACGGAGAGTTGGTGGGTGGTCGGGATTCTCCGCAATCGATATATTGGATCTCATATATACTTTCGCAAGTTCATTGTCCATCAAATACACATTGATTTGGGAGAAAATCTTGGATTGCGAATAAAGCTCAGCGACCGCTTCCTCCAAATCTCTCTGCAAAGTTAAAAATTAAGAAAACCCTCAAAAAATAATGTACCTTTAATCTAGTGCACTCCATGTCTTCAATATTAAGAGCAATAGCATGCGGACGACGTCTTTGCACGAACTTCTTGAACAATTCCATCGATTCTTCTTTCAGAGCACCAGTGTTTCCACCGCCATGACCCCTTTTTGTGAAGTGAACCATGCGAAGATAATCGACAATCGCTCCGTTTTCATCAACCATTACTCCAAACGATGCTTCATCTCGAACAGGCGAATAACAGATTGCCATCATACGTCGACGAGCACTGTGTTCCTCATCTTCTTCGTCCAATTTCTCTTTCTCCGGCACATATCCAGATCTAGCGATTCTCGAAGCGAATTCTTTTTTGCATTTTTTAGCAACCGCCATTTTCGCTTCTTCGAGGATTGTGTTGTAAACTTCTTCTTTCATGTATGGTACAAGCATCTCTGTGATTGCCATGTTCACGCATTGATCTCTCACTGCGTTCCACTGCTCGACATTGTCAGTGTACTCATCTTTGCGGAAAATCGAATCACTGAGGAACTTTTTCACTAGGAATTGGTTTGCTGCCTGGTCTTCATCGGACTCATACATCAAGACCATATCAATGAGACCGTCTTGTTTAGCTTTATGATAATAAAGGAATTCCTCATCTGTGAGATTTCGAATAGGCTTGTTCTAAAAAAATCGTTGATAAATTTAGACAATTAGCAAACAAACCTTGATGTATCGCTTATTAAACAGTGGATGAGTCTCATCGATGGTGTCTCTTCCTTTTTTAGTTGGTTTCACCCAGAAGTGAGCATTATCACGGAATTCTTGACGAACACGGCTTCGAACTAAAGGCTGCCGACTGATTTCTTTTGCCAACATGAACTTGGCACCGTTAAGGACGGTTTCCCTGTCTATAAACGCAGGGCAGATGTATTCTTCAGCCGCTTCCAATGGAAATGCCGAATCTTGGTCAATATCGTGTTTCCGCCAATCAAGATTTTCTGCGAACTGCTTAGCAGTCAAACCGAATCTTCCAGCTAGTTCTCCAATTCCATTTTCCACGCACATTTGATATTTGTCGTTGCGGATGCTTGACTTAAACTTCGCTCGATATTCCGTCTCCTCCCCATCGGCAGCACGGCGTTCTTTCTCCCATTTAGTCATATCTTCAAGTAGACTTCCATAGAGTAGTTGGAAATTCGCATGAATATCAGTCAACTGCTCGAGTGTTTCCGCAAAGTTGATACTGCAAAACAATCAGTTAATTATTGAAATTAAAGACTATTCTTACTCAATTAGATCCATTTCGTTGATTGGTCGGCGTTTTGCAGTGATATCGTCACTCAGCTCCTGATATTCCCTCATACGACGCATCAAATCATAGAGCCTTCGTTTTTTCTCCGACAAGTGACAATATTTTTCATCATAGTCGTAAACAATCCAGAGGTTGTTCATTGTGAGAAGGTTATCGATAGATTCCTTTCGATAGAAACCAATAAACGGGACTTCAAATGAATTGGATCGTACTCGAATAAAATGAAGAACTGCTTTGATTGCATTAACAACCGCTCTTCTTTTATCCTCTATTTCAGAAGAATCAATGTTCATCAAACATTCGAGTTTGCCATCAGCATCAACTGCTGCTTGATTGGTAACTGTAGTCTCCTCGAATGCGAATTTCATGATCCATTGTGCTTCGCGTTCCAACTCATCGTCATCCGCTTCTGTGACTGGTGTTCGTCTCAACTGGAATCTCTCTGGAGCATCCTCAATCATGATTTTCTTGTCAGCAGCTGACAGAAATCCGCGCTCGAGTTCACTTGGCTCAATAGATTCGAGAAGAGTTGTTTTCTTTGTGGTATCTCTCTTTCTACGAATCTAAAAAATAATGAGAATGCAAGAACAATATATTTCTAACGCTTACTTTAATCTCTCCACCTTCTCCGTCGTCCTCAATGATTTCCTCTTCTTCGTCTTCCAATCCTTCTTCTCCATCATCGTCATCATAGAATTCGTCAAAGTTGAAATCTTCGACTCCGAATACATCTCGGGCATCGTCTTCAGCTCCTTCTGGAATATGTTCATCCCCACGATGACGTTTTCGATGTCTTCGAGGAGCATCTCCGTCGTCTTCGATGAAATCATCTTCACTTCTGTCGGAGTCAGAATCATAACCGCCTCCACCTCTTCCTCCATGGCCGCGTCTTTTATCGCCGTCGTCACTTCCTCTCTCCGACTGAAGATCATCGTCATCTTGGTTACTTCTCTGAGAATAATGATTTCAAACTACTATTTTGTTATCTGTAGGTAGAGGAAATTTCCGTTTTTTTTCTTTTTCAATAAAAACAGTTTTCAATTATTTAAAAATCCATCTTGAAGACTTACTCTTATAGGTTCATCTTCGTCACTAGAATCACCCAGTCTAACACGATTTTTCTTCCGCTCTCCTTGACGATCCAAATTTTCATCGATCAAATCCAAATCTTCGTCATCCAGTTCATCATTGATTTCTGAACGTCTTGAACGATCAGATTTTTCAGATCTAGCGTCTTCTTCCTCGTCGTCTTCATCAGCGATGAAACCTTGCATCTCTTTACGACCTTCCTCTTCGTCGTCTTCATCGTCTTCGTCTTCATCAGAACTGCAAAACACCGAGATGGGTTAGCCTCCGTTCATTTTTAGTCGATAAACCAAACTCATTATTTTAAAAAAAGTACCTCGCAACAACTTTCTTTTTCTTCTTCAATTTATCCTTCGCCATTTTCATTTTCTTTGATTGTGGCTCGTCATCGTCGGAGCGATCTGTGGAGGCATCAGATTCTTCCGCTTGATTGTCGATGAAATCCATTACCTACAAGATATAACAAATATTGAAAGCGCATTTAGTGGGAATTTGTAAATATTCGAAAACGGAAAAATACCATTGAAACAAAACGATTTATATGCGGGAAGGTGAATAGGACAAGGGAATTCGAAAACCGAATTTTGGGCGAAAACTTGAGCGTCCTCGATGAAAAACAACCTCTCTAACCTCAATTTTCGGCCCAAAAAATAGAAAAGACGAGAAAGAAACAGAAAGAAAAATGAAAAGCAGCCTACCGTTACACCAGACAGCAAAAAGAATGAAAAAAGAAAATTTGAATCCATCGGAAGGTACGCAACCGCGCCCCATAGATAAGTTTTGCGAGTTAGTGTGTATGTTGAAGAGACGACAGACAATAAAAACGAGGTAGTTCAAATCTTATTTATATTTAATGGTGTTTTTCTTTTTGTTTGGCAGTGACTAATTAAATGGACGACGAAAACGACAAAATTATAAACAAAATATTTTAAACCAAGACTATTCTATAAAATAATCGAAACTTTTCAGATAAGCCTTTGTATTGAAGACATATGAAATTTGTATTTTTTTTAAAGATTACTGTAGCACAAAACTGAAAAAGAGAATTCAGGAAAATTCATGGAACAGTTGTTTTAGAAAGAAATTCAGTTAATAAGACAGCAGTCGATGGATTCGTTCAGTCGGCTTCACTCCACGTTGCTTTATAAGAATTTTCCAACGTCCACTTCAGATGTATCGAAACCCATAAGTCGGTGGCTGAAATTAATACACTCGCAATTTTGTGATTTTTAAAAAAATTCAATTAATTGGAATGATTATCCTGGGTTCTAAATTATTTGGGTTCTGTCATTCCGCGTTTCTTGGAAACACTGAAGCTGTTTCAGAACAAGGCATCTTCTTTAATCGGATGCTTAGTTCGGTTTCCGAAATTACATGCTCATCAAATCCCCTGAGAGTTCAATAAGAGCCTCAAAAAGAGGCCCAACAATAATCGAGGAGGGCTCACTTTCTCATCACTCTCCTCTTCTCTTTTCCACTCTTCTTGGACCCCGCCCCATCTCTCTCGCTGGGCCTGTTGAGCGCGCAGCTTTTCGTTTACAACTCTGTTACTCTCTCATTTGTGTATTCACTAACTTTCTTTTACTCTCTCTTTTTCTCTGAAAAGGCTTTCAAAAGTAAGTGAAAGATTGGAATAGAGAGAGTGGTTAGAGAAAAAGAGTAAGTGGAAGAGAGAGAGAGAGAGGGAACAACTACTATTCGCTCTCCTTCCTACTCCTACTAGCCTTGTCTTCTTCACCACGAAATTCTGAATTCTTCATCTTGACTTCTAAATCTTTATTTCTGGAGTCTTCTAGATGGACGACGATGTTGGTGAACGAACACCGGCTCTCGGTGGTTCATGTGGTCCATCAGTTCGTGCCCACAGTAGTTCACCAAGAAGAGTTCCTCTATTCGAACGAGCGTCAGCCAGATGGTGGAATCCTCAATTTCGTTCTGCAACCCTAGAAGCGCAATACTGGAAATGCAGTTTCAGTCAACTAAGAGATCGCTTCAGATCTGGATTATTCTATATTGGAGGTGTCATCACTTTCTGGGCACTCTATCATTTGGTTCTAGATGAAACAACGGTACAAAACTATGTAAGTTTTTTTTTGTTTTAGAAGACTTGTATAATGATTTAAAACATTCGACTTTGGTGTGAAGAATCTACTTGGTGGCCTTATCGGTTGGAGGCACGAGTTTATATAAAAATTATTTATTTCTCGACGTTTCGGCAACTTGCCATCTTCAGGAGACAGGATAATTACCTAAGAAATATTTAAAAATTACCTAAAAATAGATTTAAAACATCTCCTACTTTCTTTCCCAGAAACCAAAAAGATAGTTATTTCTATTCCTCTTGTTCCTCTTCTAATTTTTCGATGCCTCTTCTATTTGAATAAGGTAAAAGCCTTCTTTTGAATTATTCAAATGCAATCGAAAAATGCGCGGAGGTTTGTCTTGAATTTTCTGTTTTGCCCTCTTCCTTTCTGACATCAGCCACAACTTATAGAATAGGTAAAAACTGTAATTTGAAAATCAAAAATTCCCAAGGTCAAGTGTATAACTTGTATTGCATTCGAAACACTGTCAGGTTTCTTGCATCCCAACCGTTTTTTTTCGTCCGTCATTCATTCCATTCTCTCGGACACCTCTTTGTATACAATACGGGCGGAAAGAGAGAAGACTGGTCGGACAAATAAATAAATAAATATATAGATAGATAGGTATAGTTGGCTTTGGTATATAAGTATAATGCGAATGGTATTGGGCAAACACAGGACAAACCTATTTGTAGTCTAGATGCAAGTTTTTGTGAAAAAAGAAAGAGACAGTTGCCAAAACTTCATAAGAACGGGCGCATCTTTAATTTAGGATTCTGAAAATCTGAAAATCTTAATTTATTGCTTTGGATAAGTAGCATTTAAAACACGCAACTTCGTCAAAAAAACTTTTTTTCATTTCCATTTATCTCAACTCCATATTCGCCCATTCTCTTGTTCTAAAAATAAATCCTTTCGCCTGGTTTTTTTCCACTTCCTCCACTCTTCTCGCTGTCAGTTTTCATGAGCTCAGTGATATAGCACAGAGAGAGAAAAACAGCAGAAAAGCAATTGTTGAAAAATGATGGAAACCCGAAAGAGAGAAAAAACTGAGAGAAAGAGGAAGAGAGAGCTGTGTAAATCTGCAATGTTGTGAGATGCATGTGCTCCCTTTTTGCCAGAAGAGAATGGACCATGAGCCGGGGAGAATAAGAAAAAGAAGAAGCTCTCCGTGAGCACAACAACAAAGGATGTGCCAAAAACCAATTTCTCGCCACCGAAGAAGATGAAAAAAAGAGAAGAGGAAAAATGGGACAGACACTTTCTACTCACAAAAAATGATGAGATGCGCTGGACTCGACACAAAGTCAATTTAGGCCCGGAGCGCAGTGTCCTCCTTTTTTGGAAATGCTCATTGTGCTTTTTTTTAGGAAAATAAATGTGTCAGAATGTAGAAGAGAGAAAGAGAATAGTATGCAAAACCAGAGAACCTACTTGGAGAATAGAAAACAAAAATTTCGTAACTAACGAATAGCATAGTACCAAAAAACAAGAGGAACTAGAAATCAGCCGAAAACCCAATGTGAAAAGTCAAAGTGATGAGAATGGTTTTTTAGAAAACGTTACAGAAAAAATTTCGAAACTGTATGAAGTCAGTAGATACCGTATTCTTGGAAAGATTTTGGTCTTATTATTCTGAAAAAATCGGAGCTGTGGAAGAGAAACGCTGGTGAGTGTGCTTAAAGGTGCCGCAACGACAACTACCGTAACCAAACGATTTTTTGTTTTCGGGCTTCAATATCTCGATTTTCAATTTTTTCGGCTTGTTTGGAAAATAACAGACAACCGGACGAAAATCAGTGAAAAAAATAAACCTGGAATAAAAAAAAAAGGATTACGGTAGTTTTCGTTGTGGGACCTTCGGCCACTGCCACCGGCGATTTACTTCTATAGTTCGTTTTTTTGTACCAAAATAAGACTAAATTGCTGTCGAATGTTCTATTCATAGTCTCATAAATTTCACTTTTTTTTCAGGTCATCTCCATCGGTCTCGTGGGTATCATTTGTGCGATGTACGGTTTCACTGCCCTCTCCGCGCAATATCAAAGGTATCGTCTTACAATTTTTCTCTATGGGTCCATATAAAATCGTAAAACAGCGTGCTGCATTTATTGAAATTTGAAAGAAGAAAAATAAACAGGAGGGAATAAAATTGTAAAAGATACTGTAGCTGGAAAACAGTTGAGCAATTTACAGATTCTATATGCCGACTTCTTTCCTATGTACTTTTTTAATTTGCCTAGTGACTCTCCTACTGTTTTCTGCCGAGCATCATGCCACATTTATGACTCCAGTTGCTTGTCTTGCCACTAGTTTCCAGGTAGTACCATCTTCCACCAATCTTCTAAAAATAATCCAAATTTAGGTTGTTCTTCTGATCTACACTGTCATCCCACTTCCTCTCTATCTTTGTATTCTTATTGGAACCATCTACTCGATCCTTTTCGAAATTCTCAACAAGAATAAAATTGGTCTTGAAGAGCCCGGATACATCAAGCTGGTCCTTCATGCTGGTGTCCACTTGTTGGGTGTCCATTTATTTATTTTAACTCAAGTTCGACAACGGAAGACATTCTTGAAAGTGGGACAATCTCTGTTGGCAAGAAAAGATTTGGAACTGGAGACACAATTCAAGGATCACATGATTCAGTCTGTGATGCCTAAAAAGGTAGACATGCATTTGAAATTTGAAATGAGAATTTTCTCATTTAACTTGCAAAGGCAACATTTTGTACAAAATCAATCATTAGAAACCGAAATCATGCTTTTTCTTCTTTTCAGGTTGCTGATGAACTTTTAAAAGATGCATCTGAACTTCGTCGTCCTTCAGCTTCTAATGATTCCAACTGCCGAACTTCGAATGCTACTCAAGTTGATCGTAAGAAGCTTCTTCAAAACAATAAACCACATGGGATATTTAATTTACAGAACCAATTGCCAAAACAGTTCCCGAGTACCGAAAATTCCGTCCTTTTACAATGAATCTCATGACAAATGTCTCTATTCTCTTTGCCGATATCGCTGGATTTACCAAAATGTCATCTAATAAATCTGCCGACGAACTTGTCAACCTTCTCAATGACCTTTTCGGAAGATTCGATACTTTATGTCGGTTGAGAGGACTTGAGAAAATCTCCACTTTGGGTAAATTGAAAAAAGTAGAAACTCAAATAAATATCTATATTTTCCAGGCGACTGTTATTACTGTGTAGCTGGATGTCCCGAGCCATGCGACGATCATGCTTGCCGAACAGTTGAAATGGGCCTTGATATGATTGTGGCTATTCGTCAATTCGATATTGACAGAGGACAAGAAGTTAACATGAGAGTTGGTATTCACACTGGAAAAGTAATGTGTGGAATGGTGGGAACTAAACGATTCAAGTTCGATGTGTTCTCGAATGACGTCACATTGGCAAACGAAATGGAATCATCTGGTGTAGCTGGAAGAGTCCATGTTTCGGAAGCAACAGCAAAACTTTTGAAGGGATTGTATGAAATTGAGGAGGGACCAGACTATGATGGACCTTTGAGAATGCAAGTACAGGTAAGATCCATTAATATAGTCAGAAGGAGAGGAATCATGAATTTTCAGGGAACAGAGAGAAGAGTCAAACCAGAAAGTATGAAGACGTTCTTCATCAAAGGACGTTTGAATGAAGATGTCCAGGAAGAACAGATTCAAGTTCAAGAAGTCGAAAGTCTTCACAGTCAGAAAAGTTCAAAGAAATCTCATAAACCAAAGTGGGTAGAAAAGTTGAGAATGAACCACACCAATTCGTATCCGTTGAGAAGCGCAGCGAGAGAAGGCGGAGGAAGTTTGAGAATAAAGTTGGCCGAAAGAAACAGGAGTACTCAACTACTTCCAAAGGAATCAAACTCGATTTGCGTTATGGAAGATAATAGGAAATCATCATCTCTACAAGCATTGGCTACTAATAACTTCAATGGAAGTAATACAGATACAAACAACACTTACAGTGAGAGAGGAGTAGCTGGAAGTATCAGTAAGAGATCAGTGGCTGGAAGTGAGAGTAACAGTATCAAGGGAAGCAGAAGCAGTGGATTACAACTATCTCTTCAAGACGGAAATTCCGATTTGAATTCAGTCGGAGGTCTTGATACAGCCATTAGCCATCATCACAATGCAGCTTCTCTCACTCGATTCGACACTGATAATAACTTTGACCAGAGATTAGCAATGGTTCTTGGACAAGGAGAGCAAACACTTGATAAAGGATTCTGGAACCACAATGATAGTCTGAATAAGTGGACGCTTCGTTTCAACGAGAAGGATGTGGAGCAGGAGTATCGAGCACACTTCGTGGAATCGGCTGAGAGATACACATCTTCTAAAAAAGGACACTTGGAAAGACATCAGGATTTGATGGAACAAGGAAAAGATGGAGTCGCTGGATCAGCAGTTAACAAATACAGATACTCTGGTAAAAAATAATTCAGAATATTTTGCATTTCTTAAATTCATATTTCCAGGCGTTTTCATCGATATCATCGTTGCCACTCTGATCTTTGTCTTTGCTTCAGTCGTTGCTATAATGGCAGTTCGTCCTCTCCCACTTTCTCTTCTTGCCTACGTTCCATTCGCATCTGCCATTCTGATTCTCACTATCATCCTCATCGGTCTTCCACTTCTGGCCAGAAAGAAATCAATTACATGCACAAACCAATGGATGCCACGTCATCTGATTGGTCTTCTGCTAATTTCTCTTCCCATCGGAGTAGCCGTGTGTATAATGCCATCTTGTAAATTTGGAGATTGTGCCAATATGGTGTTGAACTACAGATTAACATTCAGTTATGTCACAATGTTGGCAATTTTCGCCCATTGTAACTTTTCCCAACTTGCTGCTCTGCCTAAAATAGCTTCCGCTGTTTTGATTGGATTAATGCACATCGCAGGAGTTTTTTATTGTGAATACAATTTGAAGCATTTGAGTGTGGAAGTAAGATTTTCATTGTAAACCAAGCAGCTGAAATCATTTGATTTTCAGCAAGACACCTGCAATACAACTTTAATTGTTATTCCACCACTTCGAAGAGGATTGAATGCTACGATTGCATTGAATTCCACAACCATTAGAGGTCTTCCTCAAGGATATGGATCACCTCTTTTCATTTGGGAATTGCTCATGGACGTTGTCATGTCAATTTTATTGGTTGCATTCCTCAACTATCAGGTAAGTGAATATCTAGTCAGGTTAAAACCTGTACCATTCATTAAGGAGTTATTAACTTGGGTCAAGCACCAAAATAGCTACTCTGGCTGAACAGCCAAGGCCACAGTAAATTTTCAACTGGTTTTCCGAATTTCCACAAGTTTAATTCTAATAAAATTCTTTCCTGAATCTGGTCCTGACCTAATTTTTTGGAGTTTCCAGGCCATGACCTAGTTTTCAAAATTTAGGCCATACCCTTTTTTTGGGTTTCTAGATCATGCCCTTTTGGATTTCCTGGTCATGACCTAATTTTTATTTATTAAATTTGAATTGTCGTCCATGTTTTTTGAACACTTGTGAGAAGAGGAGAACTCAAAATCACAATAGCATTTTTTTTTCACCTGAATAACAGGATTTTTATGTATTCGGCAACTGGAATTTGATCAAAGTAAATAACTATTTCCTAGCTTTTGGTATATGTTTCAACAGGATCGAATATAAATCATTCTTGCCATTTTAAAATTGGTTTTGAAAACAATTTATTTATCTTTCAGTTTGAAACTGCATTCCGAATGTCATTCTTCGGAGATGTGCAGGCTCGTCGTGATACCGAACGAATGCAAATCGTGCGTGATCAAGCCGATTGGCTCCTGAACAACGTCATCCCAGCCCACGCAGTCGAAAGTTTGAAAACGGACACAAAGTACAGTGAGAATCATGAAACAGTTGGAGTCCTATTCGCTTCGATCACAAATTGGAATGATATGTATGAAGAGAATTTTGAAGGAGGTCGAGAATTCTTGAGAGTTTTGAACGAAGTGATAGGAGATTTTGATGAATTGCTCGATCGTCCCGACTTCACCCACATTGAGAAAATCAAGACAATCGGTCCAGCATATATGGCTGCAAGTGGATTGAATCCAGAAAGGAAGAAGAATATGTTACATCCAAAAGAGCATTTATATCAAATGGTTGAGTTCGCATTGGCTATTCAACATGTGCTCAGTGTTTTCAACGAAGACTTGCTCAATTTCGATTTTGTATGCAAATTAGGATTGAATATCGGTTAGTTGTTTTTTACATAAACACTCACTAGGATGAGGGTATTTTGAGAAAGTGTGTAAGATAAACTTCCAGTCGCTGCTGATCACAAAGAAAGCAAAAAGTCTAAATATCGAAATAAAGGCAATAAGTCTCTAAACTAACTATAAGTCTATAAATATATTAGGTTGTTCCGAAAGTCTTTCACATTTTTAGGCGCGCATTTTATTCATCCTTGCCGATCGATTTTTGTTTTCTTTTTTTGTTTTAATAATATTTAACTCATGTTCAGTAAAAATTTCCAGTTTTTTTTTCAAAAAATCTAGGTCCATGGCCGGGAGCCTCTCCAACAAAACCCATGATGTTTGAGGCTGTTTTCTTTTTGAGTTTCTCCAAAGAGAATCCGATGCCGCTGCTCATTTATCTATATGCTCCGTAATTGGTGATAAGTCACTTGAGTATCTTGTAGTGCGACCTTGGTTTGATCGCTTTTGGGACGGCGATTATTCGCTCAAAAACAAACCTAGTTTTGATTATCTATTTTCAAGTATCGATGCCGATATCTAGAAAGCCCTGGAAGCTGAGCCGATTCTCACTGTTCATAAACTTTCTTCTACTCTCGGTCCACCTACTAGAACTGCATTTCATCATCTTTGAAATTCCGGACACAGAGAAAAATATGGTCAACTTGTGCCACACCATTTCAGTGATTCCAAGATTGAAACTAGCTGTGACTTGTTGGTCTTTGCTCACTCGTAAGCGAACCTTCGATGGGATTCATTATCTTGTGTCAAGAAACGATAAAGGGTGTATGTAGGTTAAAGAAAACAGAAAGTGTGCTAAATCGCACTCTTCTGATGGTGATTCACCGGGGAATGTGCATTGCATCCCCCGCAACCACTTTCTTCTATTAAATTCTTTATCATGTAACCAGTATATAAGCCCCTCTATTGTATCATTCTATATCGTTCAATAAACCAATGTAGCTTTTAAACATGGTGCATCGTGGGTTGAAAACCCCGGTCGCTCAAAGTCCCGCGTGGCAGGATTCTACATTGGTACCTCTATTCTCCTATTATTCGCTGTTGGAATATTCACTTCTGTATCGCAAGCGGCATGCAGTACCAGATGATTGGCAGCTCCTGATATAGTCAACAAAGTCATTGGCATACTTGAGACTTGGGGAGCTGGTGGACACAGGATTAGCAAGTCTAAGTCATTCGAACAAAGTGGTCGGGACTTGATGAGGACGATCACTTTTGACGCATCTGAACGAGGACAAGAAAGCTATAAGACAGCGGTCGTAGCACGTCAGATATCAGTTGCACCCGAGCTTGCAGCTCACCTCCGAACAATATGGATTGTTCAAACCGTAAGTCTTATTTTTATGGTAAGCAACAACGAAGAAGAACTTAACTTCTTGCTCCGATCAAAAGTGAACCGACAAGGACGCTTTTCCGCCCGGAGCCTCTCTCCAACGAGAAATTTTGATCTTTCATGCTAGACCACCAAGGTGTTAGATCACAAAGACGCGACGTTAACGACATTACGAGACGTATCCAGTAGAATCATGGACCCCGTAGATGTCACACCTTCGAACGCTTGCCAAGACGATACGAGAAAAGACACTAGCGACGTGACGCAAAACAGTTCTATAAGGTGAGCTATGGAGAACTTCTTCCCATTGTGCGATCGTAATTACGGAATTTAATCTCTGTAACTGCAAAAGGAGTTCGATTTGTTTTGTGCTCTGTCCAGAACCAGGAACATTTGTTCTGCGTCACGATAATGCGCACCTGCCTACGATTTTGGACACTTGTCAAAAAATTCAGGGTATAAGTATCAAAATACTCGGTTATCCATGATATAGTCCAGACCTCGCTCTAACAGAATTTTATTAATTTCGCTCGGTTTAGAATGGTTAACAGGATAAGCGATTCGATAGAAGATCGGACCCCAAGGCGTATATGGATGCCTTCTTCGCGCAACAACCACCCGCGTTCTACGCGAGAGGCTTCGATCAGCTGGCAAAACGTTGGCAAGTTGTAATGGACCATAATAGTGAATTATATTACTAATCGAAATATTCCGTACGTTGAATAAATTTGTGTTGAAAAAATGTCAAAAAATGTTTAAAACTTTCGGAACAACCTAATATTTTTTTCCAAAATTATCAAAGCTAGTCATAAATTAGTGCATCATAGCCGCCTAAATTAATTTTAAAAAACGACTAGAATTTATATATTTTTTAGGACCAGTAACAGCTGGTGTCATCGGAACAACCAAATTGTACTACGATATTTGGGGAGATACTGTAAATATTGCCAGTCGAATGTACAGCACTGGAGTATTGAACAGAATTCAAGTATCCCAGCATACCAGAGAATTCCTTTTGGATCGATATGAATTCGAGTTCAGAGATCATATTGAAGTAAAAGGAATCGATGGAGGAATGGATACTTATCTCTTGGTAATTTTTCAAATCTTCTGATGATTGCTCATAAATTTTTTTGCAGGTTGGCAGAAAAGGAGACGGAATTCCTCCATCTGTCAAGGATAACAAAGAAGATCAATTTTAATTTTAAACTTCATTTTTCACAAAAACAGCTTTAATATTTCTATGCTTTCATCCCGCAAACTATCCATCTCATACCGTCTTGCCTTGACTTCGCTTTACATTTTTTTGAAATTTGCTATTATTCCAATTTGTCAGTACCAGTGACCATTGAAAACTGCTTTACCTCTATGTCAGCCAGTACTTTATATTCTTGAAATCTGAAAAACGGGTACCCGATTTCTCATCCCAGTTTCGCCATTTTTCCTTTTTTGTTCTCAATGATCTAGTCATCAAATAATAAATAGTTTAATGAATATCTCTAGTTTTTTCTCTGGATTCTCAATTTTTCAGGAATTTTTGAAGAGCTCTGGACAGGTACTTCCTTACTCAAATCATGGAATCTACTTGGCTATCGGCTCGTAACTTCTGGTCAGGAGTTTACGGTGGTTCAGCTTTTGGATGGATATTGGCCAGATTCCGGTCGGAAGTTGCCAAAGAACGCCTATATAGCGGACCATAGTCAGATTTTTGTCGGAAGTTGAAAATTGAAAAAAAAACTACTAGGTCGAAATATTGTCATACGTTTATCGGAGTTTGATCGGCTTTAGTAGCGGTCTTATCCGTTTTCCATAAGTTACCCGATTACAGTAACCTGTCTGAAAGAATTTTGTTTCGCAGCCTCGGAGGCTTTGATGCTCTGAGAAGTAATAAGCTCTCTTCAGTTCCCTTCGAGAAAAAATTAATAAAACATGTTTACATAACTTTTTTCGTTCCAAACAGCTGTTCATCTCATCTCATTCCGTGTCAATGTCACCTGGGACTCATTTTCCTTTTCGTTTTTCTTCATTTTCCACCGATTCACCGCCGTGAGCCACAGAACAAAAACTAGCTCATCCCTCACGTGTAACTGGCAGTTGGCTCACTCTCCGGCAGGATATCTTTCCTGACGAAAAACCGACGGAGTGAAAAGAGGAAAAAGAGAAACAAAATTATTTTTGTTTCTTCTTTTTATATCTGTGTCTCTGGAGTCTTTGCACAGGCGAAGACAGGTGAGAAGCATTGCAAACATTACCCTCGTTTTTCCTCTCGTCAGTACTAACGGGAAGTGAGATAAAATACTTTGTATATGCTCACCTGTTTTTTTATTTGGCTTCCGTTTTTTAAACTCTTCATTTCAAAAAAACAGAACACTTTAAAAAACTAAAATTCTCACAGTTTCAGATGAGCAACAGTGACGCAGTTTCTGGAACTCTCTTTCAACATCTTTTCCGTATTTTCTCCTTGTTTTCTGATCAGAATGACAAAGGTATTTTCTTACAATTTTCTTGCAGTACTTCCGAATTTTCTGGAAAAACTCCTACTTTGAAGTTGGTTGGAAAATAATAGATAACCAAACAAATACAGTAATCCATACTTGTAAACCGGGCTCTGGCGGACTTTTGCGGACTTTCCCATAGTCTTTTTTGGAATCAATATTTTATGGGCCAACTAAAATAAGGTAGAGCTCGACTATAACATGAAATATTTCAAAAAACTGTTCTTTTCTATGAATCAAGTTGTAAACCATAAAGTTGCCGACTTGGGTCTACCCGGGTACTTTCCAGTTTTTTCAGCCCGTTTTGTCTGCAGGTTTGTTCATAGACAAGGTACAGTTTTCCAAATAGAATCATTTCGTCGAAATCGTCTAGTTCTATCATATCAACTTTAGTTGGTCCGAAAATATTCTAATAAAAACTGTGGCAAGGGGCCCGCTTTAGAAGTATTCCACTTTCAGGTACATTCAAACCAGCTCAAGCAGAATTTCTAATCGATGAACTCCTCCGAGAACTTCGTCGTCAAACAACTCCAAAAGTTCATGATCTACCAGATAATGTCACTTTCAACGAGTTTTTGAACCTCCTTCAAGTGATTTTTCCGGATCGAGAGGATCTTCAAATTGCTACTGATCGAGTATTCGAGCGTTATGTCAATCACGTTATTGGAAAAGTAAGTGCGAAAGTTTATAGGCTATAGCATATGAACATTTTTCATTCTAGGGATTCGTTCTGTTCCGGAAATTAACTCAAAAGCGACGTGGGTGTCTGCCGATCAAAAAACGTTCGAACGAATCTTGGCAATTCGGATGGCTCCAAGTTTTGCCTGGTATTGCAAAAATCCGAAAGCAAAATTCGGATGTTGATGATATTGTTCAATTTGACGAGGATACTGTAATTGAGGTTTTTATTCTCTTTTGATAAAACAAACTATTGTTCTCTTGATTTCAGACGCCAATAATTGATGGAGATGCTTCAATTTGGTCCGTTATTTGTAGTTCATCAACTGCATTCCAGTTCTCACATCTTGACCCTATCATGGCACAGTTATTCGTAAAAGGTAAACATTCAATTTTATAGTGCCCACAAAATGTATTTTGAACAGATATGAGAACCGCTCGTGATTACCCAACACGAGAGGGATTGGCAAGATTCGATTATAGAAGATCCTTAAAAAACCGTCCAAACAAAGAAGGAAAAATAAGAAAAGAGCTGGAAAAGGAGAGAAGTCGTCTGGAAAGTGAATTAGAAGAAGAGAAGAAAAACAGAAAAGATGAGGAAATTGTAAGAGGATTGACTACTCGGTAAGGGGATTTCTTTTGAAAAAAAAACATATTGATTCATTTTTCAGACTCTTGAAACAAGAGATGGAGAAATCTGAGCAAATGCAACAAGTGATTTATGAACTTCGTTCGAAACTTATCAATGGAGAAGAAGGAGAAAGTTTGGGAGAAGATGATGACGTGGAAATGATAGAAGATGAAGTGTCGGAAGATGTCGGTGAGAACGAAGAGATTTCGATTACTTTACCATCAAGAGAAGAAAAAATTCAACAATACGCTTATCATTTGTATGCAACACAGGCAGAAGAACATGTCACTTCAGATGATGAAGAAATTTGGAAACAAAATTATAATTTGATTGTTTCAACTCAATCTGTTTGATCGTTTTGTAATTTTCAATTTATCTAATAAATGTTTGCTTCTTATGAACTTTCGAACTTGAAAACGGAATTTCTGATTTTCCAAATTTCTCAATCGAATTTTTAGTTTCTATAAGTTTAACAGTTTTTTACGGCAAACTTTCAATTTCTGAATTGAAGAATTTCTTGATTAGAATTTTTTAATTTTCAGAGTTTCAGGATTTTGGAACTACGGAACCATGTACGTGACTAAATTTTTTGGATTGCAATGTCACGATCTAATTTTCAAATAGAATTTGAAACTTCCGATTTTTTGAGTAACATAATTAGGGAATTGAAGAATCTTCAAAATCAGAAACTGGAATACATGAATCCTCACATTCGGAATAGCTGAATTTCTGATTTTCCAAATTTCTTTATTAAATTTTAGTTTCTATATTTTTGCAGTCCCTTTTACGGTGAATGTTCAATTTCTGAATATCTGAATTTTCGCATTTCTGCATACTTGTAAAATTCCGGGCCGGGCCCGGGCCTGAGGAAAATTTCAAGGCCCGGGCCCGGTAGCAAAAATTTTGTCATTTTGAACCGAATGTTGAGCTCTTAATACAATTTTCTATATTTTTTTGTCCTTTTTGGATTGCTTGTCTGTTTGATCAAAAAATATTTGAAAAAACTTGAAAAAAATTTTTTGATCGAAAAAAATCACATAAGGGTCCCCCCCTTATGTGTTTTTTGAAATTTTTAGAACTTGTGGAATGACAGGCCCGGCCCGGCCCGGCCCGTTACAAGTATGCATTTCTGAATTTCTGTAACTTGAATTTTTTAAACTTCAATATTCCGAAGTCCGGAGATTGATGCATTTCAGATTTCTGATCTTTTAAACAAACTTCCTCGGCTGTCGGCTTGCAACTTCTGGCCGGAAGTTGAGGGGGGGGGGGGGGTTCGGCTTTTGGACGGATCTTGGACAACTTTTGGTCAGAAGTTGTAAACTTATACTGGGTGCGGCAGAATTTATTTACATAAACAAATCGTTGTAACTGTTTTCTAAGTAATCGAAAAATTTTGAAACTTTGCGGATAGATTATTCCACTGCTGAAATAGAAATATAACTTTGATTTTTGGAATTATCTTTTTTATCTTTCCAGCTAGGATCCTAAAAGTGGTTGATTACATAACTCTTGAGGCACAAAGTTTTTTTCAAGTTCACTCTGTTATATCATTATTACTGGCTATGGCGAGACTTCAAAACTTTGATTTTTAGAAAATGTGAATCCTGTTTATTATGTTCATGAAACATGAGATTGTATGATTTGAATGGTCTATGAAACATCAAGAGTTAAAACTTGCATAGGCAGTTTGATGAATCTGTTTTACATACAAAAAACCTTTTCAAAGAGGCTGGAATTCAGATGAATTTTACTAGAATCAGGAAAACTATATTTCGCGATAGGATATAAAAAGTTGGTCAGAATTATTTACCTTACCCAGAGTCATATTGAAGCGGAAACGTAATGTTCACCACTTGTGAAAAACCGATTGCTGCTCAGTACAAGGAAATCCTAGACGAAAACTGTTTGTTTTCAGAAACTACAGTTTTACTGTTTACATTAAAATATGTTTCCAAAGAATTTTCCTTTCAGTTTACTCACAGACTCCTCTCAAACTCAAAGAAAATTGTCCAAATAAAATAGATACCGTAAACACTCTAATAGAACGCCTTCCGAATCGGCAAATTAGACCCTATGTATCTCATTTTATTTAAGATATATCAAAAAGTGGTTAACTAATAAAATGTTTCTGATACCATGATAAACATTTTATTAGTTGACAACTTTTTTATATCTTTCAAAAGAAGTAAGATGTATAGGCTCAAAGTAAACGGTCCGGGTGGCGTTCTATTAGAGTGTTTACAGTAATCTGAAGTTATGAATTCAAACGGTTGTAACTTTTGAATGGGTTTTGAGATTTTTTCAAAACTTGGTAGATATATTTAAAAATTTCTTTGAGTATCAACTGCAAGTTGTTTGGGCACTGTATGACAAATAACAATATGGTTGTGCTATGCACAATGCACCCGCTGCATCCTGTAGCTGTTCAGAAATTGGTCGGAAGTTGTCCGGATTTTGGCCGGAACTTGAGCGCGGTGCGTGTCGTGAAGCGTGCAGAAGGTTCATTTCAATTCTTCTATTTTTTTCTTTCGTTTTCGCCTATTTTCTAACCTTATTTTGCCTTCTCTATGTAACTTCTTACAGAAGAGATCCACCTGCTCGTCACATCTCACCTGGAGAGATATGAAGTCGTTCCGAGACTATTGCAGATAAATTCAAAAGACCCAGATGATTACGATCCAAAGGATATTGTAGGATTGTAAGGAAATAGTTATACAAGCGAGTATTCCTCATCTGAATCCTTTCAGCTCAAAAAACCACTCCAAGAACAACCCGAGCAGCTACAACGGTCCTCCAATTCTACCAAAATCATCATAATTATAGTTAAAAATTTTGTGTTGCTTCCACTTTTACTTGTTTCTCACATTATTTGTTAATTTTGTTGTAATAATAAACTTTTGGGTAATTTTTTCCGAGTTAAAACTATGACAAAATATACAAAAACAGGTCGGAAGTAGGTCGGAAGAAAATCGGAAATGGGTCGGAAGCTCGCCGGAAGCTTGTCGGATTTTGGTCGGCTTCCGATAATGTCTTTGCCGGAATCTGACCAACTTCCGTCTAGAAGCCGACCAGCCTCCGGCCAGAAGTTACCGGCGACGCCCGAGATCTGTATTAGAATTTGAGAATTTTAGAATTTTCAGAGTTTTCAGAGTTCTGAATTTTAGATTTACAGAATTTCTTAACTTTCAATTTCTGCCTTTCTGAATTTTATTCTGAGTCAGTTTCTTTATTTCCAGAATTTAAATATTCTGATTCACAGAACTAGAGAATTCAAGGAGCTTCAAAATCAGAAACTGAAATTTATGAACCCCCGAATTCGGAATAGTTTTATTCCTGATTTTCCAATTTCTTGAATTTTAATTTTATGGTCAATATTTGAGTATCCGAATTTTCGAATTTCTGAAAAAGAATGATTTTCATAACTTCAATATTCCGAAATCCGTAGTTTGATACATTTCAAATTTCTGATATTTTAAATTGACGAATTAGCCAATTTCTTGATTAGCCTTTCAGAATTTTCATATACTTTACGAGTTTTTATTCGTGCTAGTTTTCATTTGTAGCAGTTCTCATTTTCCGAGTTCTTATCCCTGGTACAACCAGGATTTTTAAAAAGTGTTTCGAAAGTTTTTTTTTCTTGTAAACTTTCGAACTTAATAGCGGTTTTGTATGTAATTATGTCTGTTTTTCTCAATTTCAGAAAAAAAACTTTGAATTTAAACACAACGAATCCTCTATGTATTGCCTTGTGTCGATTCCCATGACCCTCGAACCAACATGTTTGTTTGATCTTTGAAGCTTCAAATGAAACCTAGGCCACGGCACCTGACAGCCTTTTTTTCAAGTCGTCGACAGTGGTTTTTTACGTTTTTTACCTGCCGGACATGAAATTGAAAAAAAATCCGGAAAATTTGCCACATAGGAAAGGCGCCCGCTGCCGTGGCCTAGGTTTCTCACTGAAAATCCTCGTCCCCCGGCGGCACCTTTTTTTGAATTTTCTTCCTTTTCAACGGCGTTTTTTTTTTTTGGGAATTTCGGATTTTTTTTGAATTTTTTTCCCAATAAATATTTGGAAAAATAAATAACTTTTAACACATTTTAATGCAATAAAAATTTTTGGTCGGAGTCCCCCTTTAAGTTTGTTTCTATCTATCTTAACTATCTCATCTCAATAGCCACATTCGATTTTCGCCTTATCTTGCAAATGACCTTGTTCTTCTTTTGATTTTCATCTCTTTTTCTCTTCTTTCTCTTCTCTACTCTTTTACTATTTTCATTCAAATCGCCGTGTTTATTCCATTTGTTTGTCAGAGAACTTTCCAAAAATGGCGAAACTTCGAGTGGGATTTATTGGTTATGGACATTTAGGTTCGTATTCATATACTGTTACTATTATTTTATACTTCCAATATTTTCAGGAAAATTTCTCGTTAAGAAGCTTCGAGAGCTTCCTGATGAGTTTGAAGTCATGAAAATATGGAACAGAAGTGTTGAAGAGCCAGGAGTTCAGGGGTTGGAAACTTTGACAGCAGAAAACTTGAAGTGACTTCATCAGAGTTTATTTTTATAAGTATAAAATTTTAGTGACATTGATCTGGTCATTGAAGTGGCTCATCCGAAGATTATCGCAGAATATGGAGAGCTGATTTTGGAACATTGCGATTTAATTGCGGGTTCTCCAACATGTTTTGCTGATCAAGAACTATTGGAAAAGTTAAAAAATTTGTCCTTGATGCATGCGAGAAGACTTTTGGTTCCAGCTGGAGCACTTTGGGGAGCTAATGATATTCAGAAAATGGCCGATGTTGGCAATTTGAAGGTATTTTGTTAACCAAAATTTTTACGGAAACTAAAATATTCAGGGATTGACTGTTACTATGATCAAGCATCCAACATCTTTCAAATTAGGATCCCCACTTTTTGAGATAAATGAAAAGGCAAAACTACAGGAAAGTGAAGAAACTATTTTATATGAAGGTATTCAACAAGAAACGTTATTCCAATATCATGTTTTAATTCAGGATCTGTTCGAGGATTGTGTCCTCTGGCTCCAACAATGTGAATACAATGGCTGGTGGAGCTCTGGCTGCCACCAATCTAGGATTCGATAAAGTCAAGGCAAAACTGATTTCGGATCCGAAAATGACGGATTGGCACGTTGTTGAAGTTCGTGTTGAAGGAGATGATGGATTCGAAGTGATTACGAGAAGAAACAATCCAGCAAAACCTGGAGCTGTCACCGGACAATTGACTTATTATTCATTCCTCTCGTCCATCAAAGAATCCAGATATAAGCCTTCTGGAATACAATTGTGCTAGAATGTATTAAGTTACAAAATATTTTTCAAATTAAGTGTTATCCTAAAAAATGAAAATTATTTAAAATAAGTGATTTTATGAGATGATTACATCACGAAATTTCCAAGAATCGACATTCAGAAGATGAAAAATTTGAAGATATAATTTTTTGTCTCTTTTTCTAACGATGCTGTGATTACAATCCAGTTTTTGTAGAAAGAAATTGAACCAATGTATTTTTAATGAAACGAATTTATAACCCCTTATTTACAATATATTTCATTGAAATATTGAAACTTTATAAGTAACAAAATTTTAGAAAGTTCGTAATATTTCTGAAATTCCAAAATTCCAAAATCTTCAACATTTGAAAACCCGGAGTATTCAATCTTCTAGACTCGTGGGAATCTGACACCAGAAATTTTCAGAAACGAAAATTAGAAAAAAAATGGATTCAGAATGCTGAATAGAAAAACGAAACCAGTAACATTAAGAGGCCGGAATCTTATCTGAAATTATATTACAGTGTTTCCTACTCCTCACTTTTTACAATTGCTCTTCTACTCCTGAACTTCCTCTCCGCACCACATTGTTTTAAGTCTAAACTCGGACGTTCTCAAATAACATTTTGTTATGAATCTAATCGACAAGCAAGCAGTTTAAATTTATTTCAAAAGAGTTCAACTCAAAATTGAAGAAAACGATATTTAAAAAATGCAAGGCAAAAAATGCAAATAGGCAAAAAAGAAGCGGAATCAAAATCACAACGGAAAAGAAGCAATGGAATGCAATTAAATTGACCTAGAACATTTAGGAAATCGAGCATTTTCCCTTATCTTTTCGTTTCTTATCACGTGGAACTGAGGCCATGGATGCCTGAAAAATAAATGCACTCTTCTCCTAAATCAAATGATAAGGTATACCTCATGCTCTCCTTCATCACTTGGGAAACTACGGACGATTCGGACGAGTTCATGGAATGCGGCATCAACATTAACTGGTGGTTCTTTTGCAGATGTTTCAATGTACATCAATTTCAATTGAGCAGCCAATTCTCTTCCTTCTTCCTCAGAAACAACTCTTTGGTTTATCAAATCCACCTTATTAGCAACCAAAAGAACTGGATACTCGGCCTTATCCTTCACACGAAGCACTTGATTATAGAGTTTGTGAGCCTCCTCGAACGATTTTCTTTCGGTGACCGAGAAAACCAAAAGGAATCCTCTTCCACCACGAATGTATTGTTCACGCATTGCAGAGAACTCTTCCTGGCCAGCAGTATCGAGAACTGAAATATTATAAATTAAAGTCGATATAAGTCGAAGGGGATGATTCCTTACCATCCATGATAACCCAGTTTCCGTCAATTTCACAGTGTTGAATGTATTGATCTTCTATTGTTGGGTCATAATAGTCTACGAATTGTTTCTGAATTTAAATAAATTTTCTAAAATGAAATTTTCAATAACCTGGAAGAACTGAATAGTGAGAGATGACTTTCCGACACCTCCATCTCCAATAACTACCAATTTGTAGTACGGTAGTTTAGAGTCATCCTCCGGTGGCCTTTTACCTCCGTTTGACATGGTAGTCTGGAAATAAAAAGGATATGAAGAGATAGATTATTGTCAGATATCGGAAGGAACAAAGTTCAAATTGATAAGAAACCGGTTTGCGATTTTCCAGAACTAGAAGAAAACTGGCATAGAAAAAGAATTATAGAGCAACAAAGATACAATAAACGATGACGCATATGATTCATGAATTCATGTGATTGTGTGAAATATCGTTTACGATGTTCTATGAAAAACTAGTTGCAACAATTCATCCAATTTTACAACACTCACACGGTTTGTTTCATCTGGTTATAACTTTTCTACTGTTGGTTATTTTAGAAGGGATATCTGTTTGATTTCGGAATTTGTTGTCTTTCATTTTTGCCATGATTCAGAATAGGGAAAAAAATTTTCACAACAGAAACAAAATCTTCAAAAACCAGTTTCCCTGAAATAGAAGTGAAAGCCCAATAGTGTAAAGTTTGACCTAATTTTTCTGAGCTCCTATGCAAGATATAAAAAATGTGTCAACTGATAAAATGTTTGTGATATTATAATAAACAATTCATCAGTTGATAACTGTTTTATACTTTTGACAGGGACCGAGATAAATTGGTTCAAAGTTGAAAGTTAGAAGGTCCGTCTACTTTAGGTTTTACCAGGGATATTAGGGAAGGCAACTTCGGAACTTTTTGGAATGTCAAAAATTCGGAATTTTCGGAATGTCGAAAATTTCGATTTCCAAAATTTCAAAGATTGGGAGTTTCGGAATATTCCGATTGTGAAATATTCGGAATTTCGAAATTCCGGAATTTTCAAATTTTTTAAAATTGAAATTTTTCCCATCACAAAAACGCCAAAATTGGTCTCAGATTCGAACTGATGGGGTGTGCTATTGCGCTTTCAGGGACGGAATTCCGAATTCCGTCCCTGAGTTTTACGGTACGTTAGCTACACCACAAATGACTGTAACCACCAAAACCAAAAAGAATTTACGTATAAACCACTTCTGAAAATCTTAAAGAACTGAAAAAATAGGTGAACAACTTTTCGAAATTGAACCGGTATATCATGTTGACCGGTTAATTTTAGGAATCAAAAAGGGAAAAACGAGGAGCGATTACGTGTGTGAGGGCAGTTAGTAAGTGAGTAAGTTTCAATAGATTGGAGGGGAACAAAATAAGAGGAAGAAGAAGAAGATGAAGGAGAAAAAGAACGGCCCTCTTCTTGATTTTCTTGTGTTTCCTTCTTCCTATCGGTATCCCATTCTGTTATCCATCTTTTTTCTCTCAGGTTTTCTTTTCAATTCTTCTCCGTTTTTTTCCTTCTATTTCCTCCAAGGTGACACACTCGCAAACACACACCGCGATGCAACCGCAATAATCAATATTATCAGTTGGTTGACCCCTTCTCTCTTTCTTTATCTCTTTTTTTGTTTCGTTTTCTCTTTTGACCAACGAGAAGATGATAATGATGAAGATGGAAACAGTGTATGGTTGTTCGGATTAATCGAAAACGACAGAAAATTAGGTGATCGTTCGCGAAGTTCTAATGACAGTGAACTGATATGTGAGATTGAGGAATGTTTATGATAACGATGTGGAGAAAAGAATAATGATAAAAAAGTTGATGATATGGTTAAGATCTTGAAACACAATATTTTACATTTCTACCATCAAATCAGTAACGGTTTCTGATAATTAGAAATTGGGAGAATTGATGGGAAATACAACAAAGTACAAAAGCAAGAGAAATATAATCTACAGTACCCCTGAAAAGTGATTGCGAAAAATTCGTCAGCCATAAATTTTCGAGCAAAAGCTCTAAGATTTCAAATTAACCTTCAACAACTTGAAATTTTCTACACTTCCTCCAGGCTTCCGCTTATAGTATCTTACACTTGAATTTCTAATTTCTGAATTTCCAAATTTCCGAGTTCCCATAATTTCTGAATATTTGATTTCCCCAAAGTTTTGAATTATGAATCATATAATTTTTTTAATATCTGAATTCCATAATATTTGCATTCCCGAAGTTCTGAAGTTCCAAATTTCTGGTATATGAATTTCAGAATTCCTGAATTTAAGGATCACGAAGTTTTCGAAGTTTCGAAAATTATTATTTTGAAGTATCTGAATTTCAAAATTTCCGAGTTTCTTGGTTTGAAAAAATTCACAAATTTCTGACTTTCTAAATCTCGAATTTCTCGAATCTAAACATTTTCCAACTTCTGAACTTCAAAATGACTGAATTTTTGAAATTCTGAGTTCCGGATTCCGGAATAGTTAAATTTCCGAATATCCGGATTTTACGATAACCAAAAATTTTTGAATTTCTGGATTACCAAATTTCTGAGGTTCAGGATTTGTGACTTTTTGGAAAATCTTGATCAAGTGAACTTGAATTTGGCTAGGGTCGGCGACCCGGAATTAAACAAATTTAATTTTTTTCAAATTCATCAGTTCAGCTAATTTTCATTTTCGTTTCGACTCGTTCTCAACTTCCATCGAAATCGGTAACCAAGCAATCCTCCATGAACCCATAACAGATTTCACATTTTCTTGCCACGATCCTAGATCATAAGTCTGAAAAAAAGTTTAGAAAAATATTCGAAAACTAAAAAATGTCCAACCGTTGTCTCTCGAGATTCCTCAATAAGTGTCTGATTTCGAAGAAGATTCGGGAGTTGATTTTTCAGAAGATAAAGTGCTGCAAATCCAACCATCTGAAACCGGAAACTAATTTCAAAGAACTACAGTAACCCATGTTCTCACCACAGCATTCGAAACTCCGGTTCCTTTTAACTGCTCTGTGTTGCTTAATATCTCTCCAGTGTAAGCACTTTTTATGGTCTATTCATCAAAACAGTATAGTAGATTTTGAAATTCAAAAACTCACCTTCCAGAAGTCGTAATATCCGTTATACACAGTAAAAATAGCCATCTGTAAGGGCCAGAGAAGAAAAAGTAGAAAGTATTTGTGGTTGCCACTGTGAATGCACAACTGAAAATGGAATTTCTTTCGAAAGATGGTGGACCTCGGTACTGATCACCTGTAAGATTGGACAATGATGATCCATTCTATGAACACATTGATTGCATCTGCGACAGTGATGCCAACGCGGTGGCTTACGGTAGTTACACTGCTCACAGAAACCTTCCAGGCTCGATTTCTAAATTAGTTTTCATATAAGTCAAAATCGTATAAATTAATAATCTACTTTATCATCATCATCCACTAAACTACACCTTTCCGGTGGGGTGAAAGAAGCGGAAAAGTAGGAACAGACAATAATAATCCAAAGGAATTGAAAATAATAGAGAGCTAATTGACTGATTTCTCCGTTTGCAGCATAAAGTACAACCATTACTTGACACCAAAATGTGAAGGCAATTGGCCATCCGATGTTAGCTAACATCCATTTTGTTCTTTCCAGCCACATTTTCGAACTTAGTCTGAAGAAGAAACAGGAGAAGGTCTCTGAAATTCTCGAGCTCCAACTGGAGTCCTACTTTTCCAGAGTTCACGTAAAAACATATTTTTGCTATATGTCCCAAACAGTAGAGTAATATCTGCAAGGTGGTAGCACGAATAATATCTCGAAGAAGGAGAACTGCTACAAAGAATAACTCGTTCGAATAAGGACTGGCGGAATAAAATTGGTAAAGACTCTAATATGTAGTTCAAGTTCCAACTTTGTTAGAAAACGAGTTCCCAAACGATATCTTTCTTTCCAATCTTTCAAGATCCTCATTTCTGGTACCAAAATTTTCAGGATGGTATAAGGAATGAGAACTCGAGGAAGGAGAACTGCTATTTAGAATTGAAAACTCCCTTTTATGAGAACTGTATCAAATAATAACTCGTGTAATGGCGATAATATGTAGTTCAGCATCCGACTTTTTTCCGAGTTTCCAATTATTTTTTAAGTACCGTATTCCAGTAGAAGCCTACTCACACCGGCAACTTCGATGATCTTCATTCCTGCGAAAGATATCAAAATTTTGTCAATTGACCAATTATTTATCATAATTAGAGGGAGCCCTCCAGTAAAAAATTCGACGAAATGTCGTTCAAAATTTATGAAAATATGTCAATTTCACCAAAATTGAGCAAGTTTTTTTAAGTGAAAAAAAGTGTTTCAACAAATTTGTTTTAAATTGAGGAATTCCCGGAATATTTGTCACTGAATCTACAGAAATCTTTTTACTTCAAGACACGTTTTGAAAGGGGTCCTTTCTTAGAAGGGACTCTTCTATTACGGGAACCCTTCTATTAGAGGGACCTTTCTATTAAAGGGGCCCTTCTATTACAGTTTTTACAATATGTATAATCCCAATAAATACTGTTCCTTTTTTCTTATCTCAAACAGTGTCCCAAAGTTTATTTTCAATCCAAAAACTACAGTAATCACATGTTTTCAAAATTTTCAGAAGCTTGAAATGCACACCCTCATCATCGTCGATTCTTCCACTTGTCCTTGCTGTTCTTCTTTCCCTCTTTTTTTTCAAATAATTACCAACACTTTTTCAATACTAATTATGCAGCATCTCACTTCTCCTTCTCTTCTCGATTTTCCAGTTTTCGCAACCAATTACGAGTGCGAAAACAGAAGGAAAAATGACATTTTTACACCTTTACCTATGAAAAAAAACTAGATCCCAAATTAGGGAATTCGGGATTTTTTGTTATTGATAAAAAAAGGTGACCACTGAAATGAACAATGATCAAGTGTAACAAAACTACTGGACCTGAAAAACAAGAGGCATTGTAAAAGATTCTCACAAAATGAGTAATATATGTACAGATTATTATCTTTTTTCAGTTGAATAATAAATGAAACTGGATTTATAAATAGTACAACTGCTAATACAAGTAAATAACCAAAACTTTTTCCTTCATTTGATTCTTCGCGAAGATTCATTTATCTGTTGCGTCGATCAGTTTTTTTGGGTGATGAATCGGAAGTAAAGCCGGTATTCTGAATGAATTGGATGCATTTCTGGAAGATTCGTTTGTTGTCATATTCAAGTAAAATTGCGTAACCACAAAGAGAAACGATGCATATCAAAGGCCAGGTTTTTTTTCAGATATATGTTTTGGAGGGAGAGAGGGTTTGAGTAAACACAGAGAAACTTTCTTCTTTTCGTTCGAAGAACAATCAGAAAATGGAAAACATGTTTCACTTTCGGATGATATTTCAGAGAAAGTTGGAAACGGTCAGTCTCACTGGATCAGAGAAATGGAAAGTTGCTAATCTCGAACTTAAAGCCTCATATGAAATGTGATCTGAAGCTCAAAATTCGTAGGGGTTCTGAGAATGATTTTATGTAATTATTGGATCTTCAGAAATTTCCGAAAATGACAAAAACTTGTGTTGTATTATTCATTTCCGTAGTTATCAACATCTTTTGCGAGCTGATTCAAAAAAGATACTTCGCCGAAACAGCATACCGTACTTTCTTTAATAGAAGCTCACCCTATAAGTGCACTTTGAGCTCAATAATACCGGTTCCTATGAGAGGAATCAAAAATTTGTCAACTGATATATTATTTATCACAAAGTTACTAACATTTTATCAGCTGACAGATTTTTGATATCTTTCACTGGAACCAAGATAATTGAGCTCAAAGTGCACGTAAAGTGCTCGAAAACAGGCTCAATATTGATGAAACTGACAAACTTTAATGACCTTAAAAAGAGAATTTACCGATTGTTTAAACGAAAGTTGTTGGAAAATATGGCCGGAAAAATATAAGGACCCCCTCTAATTGAAGGGCCCTGTAACAGAACGGCCCTCCGGATGCACCTTGGGACAAAAGAAGCCCTTCTAATACAGATTTTACGGTAAGTTTGCACAAATAAAAAATTCGGAGCTATGGAAGAGAAGCTTCAGTGGCCGTCTCCGAATTTCGCACGCACAAGGACAACTACCGTAACCGAAGATTATTTTTATTTTCCGGATATTTTATCTCGATTTTCGTGCGTTTTCCGTCAATTTTTTTCACCATTTACTTGTTTCAGGAAAAACAACAGAAAGCTCGACGAATGCAGTAAGAAACGAGAAAATAAATACGGAATATATAAATATTCGTAGGTTATGGCAGTTGTCGTTTTGATAGCACCAATGTTTTGTACCAGAATAATACTTTGCCAAAAACAAATGTGTTTCTCTCCGATTTTTTTCTTGGAAACATCCTGTAAATTTAAATTTTCATTAATACAAATATTTTACATGTTAATATTTAGATGCGACATGTTTTTCATTACATGACATTATTCCAGAAACTCGCTAAAAATCTCACAACAAAACATTTCAAATGGATTGTGAAAAAAAAACTTGTGAAACTTCTTATTTTCCACTTCTGAACACATCCAATCACCATTAACTCATTCATCCACACATCCACAATGCGTTCTTCTTTCCTTCTTTTCTCCCATTATTTTTGACGCCATCATCTTCAAAACTCCGCCTATTTGGCTGCTTCTCTTGCTATCCACTTGACGCCTTCTTGTATAAAAGTCATCATCTTTCCATCTGATTCTTCACTTCTCCTTCTTGTTTATTCCACAACAGTCATGGAGAAATTCGTTGTGGGCGTGGCAGCTACTGCTTCAACATTGGCATGCTTGGTTATGGTAATTACCATTCCTCAGCTCTACAATACTATTTTAGAGGTACTTTTTTCTATTTATGAACAAAACGTATGTATTCTTTTCAGGTACATGATGAAGTTCTTGATGGAGTCAGTGTCTTCCGAATGGAAACCGATGCCGCCTGGACTGATATGATGGATATTCAAATCACCGTCACACCTCCATCCAAACCACGTGTCAATCCATTCAACTCCATTTTCCGTCAGAAAAGACAAGACTTCTCCGGTCTCCCTGCTTGGTGTCAATGTGAACCAGCAAAACCAGTTTGTCCTCCAGGACCACCGGGACCACCAGGAGAACCAGGACAGCCAGGAAACGCCGGACCACCAGGACCACCGGGAGAAGACAATACTTCAACATATGCTCCAATCACTTGTCCACCAAAAGATCCAGGATGCGTCAAGTGCCCGGCCGGACCAGCCGGACCACCTGGACCAGAAGGACCAGCTGGACCTGCTGGATCTGATGGACAACCAGGAGCTGCAGGAGATGCTGGAAAGGATGGGCCAGCAGGACCACCGGGGCCAGATGGAGATTCGGGACCAAATGGAGAACCTGGACCAGATGGAGAGCCAGGAGCACCAGGAAAGGATGGAGAGAAAGGAAAGGGAGAACCAGGACCTGCTGGACCACCAGGACCCCCAGGACCAGGAGGTCCACCGGGAGATTCTGGAAGTGCAGGAAGCGATGGAGCTCCAGGGCCGCAAGGACCACCAGGACAAGATGGTACACCTGGAAACGCGGGACCAGATGGTCAACCAGGAGCCCCAGGAGGTCCAGGACTACCAGGAAACGATGCAGCATACTGTCCATGCCCACCAAGATCAGCAGTGTTCGTCAACAGATTCGCCCATTAATTTCAACTTTTCAAATAAACTGTTTCACTTTCTTCGATTTGTAATTGCAGAAGACATGATTTTAAAGTCATGAAAGCCAATAGATAGGCACCACAGCATAATTTTCAAAATAGATTTTTTTTTTTCAATTTTTATTGTTGGATTGTCTTCTCCTCCCTTATGCCGCGTTCAAAGTTGATTTCCAGGGTAATTTACCTGGAAAAACGTAATTTACCTGGAAAAACGCTGTCCAAAGCTGCGATTGTTTTCCAGATTTACAGCAACAGTAAACTACTGTATCACTCGTTTTGACTGTGTTCTTCCTGTTGATTCATGTCGATTTACGGCGGGTCTCGAAGCGGAGGCCTCTGGAAAACAATGGCAGCTTTGAACAGCGTTTTTCCAGGAAATTACACCTGGAAATCAACTTTGAACGCGCCATTATAGAAGTCCATTCCTAAATTTTCAGCGAAAAATCTTTTTTCCGTAAAGAGTTACAGACCCTTTGTACCAGACCTCAATGTACTAACTTTCTCCTCTTTCTTTTGCGGTGCGCAGGAATTTGGCCGGGGTTTGGAAACTTGCGCGGAAAAGTCGGGAAGGAAATTAAAGAAAAAGCTAATTGACGGGTGACGGAAACGAACCTACGCCTCAGTCAGATCCGCGCGCGCCCACTGTCCAGTCGGCCACGGCTGCACTTCTTGTCAATGATGAAGAAACAGCCTTATAAAACTACTTTTGCTCCAGTAGAATTTTTTAATTAGGATCGTAATCGGTGGTAAATTTTGCGTAGAATCTTATGGTGAAAAGAAAATCGGAGGCACTCCCCTGAGTCACCATCAAAACTTCTAAAACCAAAAATGTTTAAAGTTTTGAATTTTCGGATGAGTATTAAAACTACTCAAAGGTAACCAATCTTTTTGAAAATTGACATAGGGGTACACAAGACTTAGTTTTACCATAATATGCAAAAACATTTTGGGGTCATCGCTGAAATTTTTATTTATTTTGGCTGGAACTTTGGCTCAAAATTGAGAATTGTTCGCTCCAGTAGAATTTTGATTTTATATCAATCCAATCCCACAGTTCATAAACTACCAGAATTCATCAAAAAACTAGAGACACTCACTTCCATCCAACACTTTCAGTCCACTTTGTAAATCCGACTCCTATTTTTCGCAGTTTTCGAATCAAAATAGTAAAATTATCGGAAAACGGATACTTTCATTCGATTTTTCGTAGTCGATTACATAGGGACAAGTTCTAATTTGGTCGCCCCGCGCCCTTTCATTGCGGCGCCTACCAATAGCTTGACTTTTCGATTAGAGTTTGATAATCGGCAAACATAAATAGAATGCAAGAAAGTTGAAGACAATTTTTCGGTGTCTGTTTAGAATATGTTGTTTTTTTTTTCAAATTTCAAACTTGTTCGCGAAAATCGCACTTCTAATTAGTTATTGCTTTTCGTCCTGAGATACTTCCGCCACACGCTTGGTTCTAACTTTGATAGCTTCGGACGAATATTATTTAGATGCTTCTCTAATATGACTGGTGTATAAATTGCTTCAATTTTTAAAAACTTTCAGTTTCTGAATAGTAGAAATAATACTGTTGACTCATAATTTAGTTAACAAGGTTTATTTCAAAGAATCCAACATTGTAACGAATTGATTACCAGTTAGACTGGGTTTGAGCTCCGGTTGCCCATTCGTCGGCAGCGGTCTTTCCTTCATTAGTCCAGGTGGCAGTCTCAGCGGCCCAATCCTCAACCTTTCCTCCTTGAGCGGTGAAGTCAATGTCTGGTTGTTGTTGGAATTCTTGAGTCTCGGCAACCTCGGCGTGAGCTCCGGTCTCCTCCTTCTCAGTCTCAGTTGGGTCACGGTAGAAGTAGAGATCTGGCATGATCTCCTTTCCGTCGAGGACAAATCCGGTTTGGCGAGAGATCTTTCCGCGAAGAATAAGGATCTCACGGGCGAGCATCCACCACATAAGTCCAATGGAGCGTTCTCCCTGAAGTTTTTAATATAATTCCAAAAATTAACAAAAAAATTACCTTGTTGTTGCATGGGACTCCAATATCGATCAACTTGAGTGGGGACTCGGTGTTGACGAAAGAGATGACTGGAACTCCGACGTACGAAGCCTCGGTAACAGCCTGAAGAACGAATTTTCAAAATCCCTTGTAAAAAATAAAATGTATACCTGGTGGTCGATTCTTGGGTCGGAGATGACAAGAAGTCTTGGCTCCTTGAAAGTCTTTTGGATCTGGTTGGTAAGGCATCCTGGAGAGAAACGTCCGAAGATGGCGGTAGCTCCAGTATGAGCAGCGAACTTGAGAAGAGCACGCTGGGCGTATGGTCTAGCCGAAACAACGACGACGTCAGCTGGGTTCTCAACAGCGGCGATAGCACGAGCAGCAAGAAGAAGCTTCTCCCAGGTCTTCTTGACGTTGATGATGTTTGGTCCTGAGAAAAAAAACAATTTATTGAAATTATTCACTTTTACTTACCATCGAAACGTCTCTTGTAGACATATTGCTGCATTTGGAAGTTCAAGTTGGTGGATCCCAAATGGGCCTGGGTGGCCAAAAGCTTCATGACATCCTCCTCAGTGAGGGCGGAATGAGCAGCACCGCTCGACATATTACCTGAAAAGTTCTTCTTGTAAAAATGAATAAAGTGAACAGAATATGATTAAGAAAAACAAAAATGACATAGAGCGAAAATTCGATGAATACATATAATGTGACTACGGATAACTACGGATATTTCTGGCCATTTGACATAATTTTGAGGATTATAAATTATTTTGTCGATCGGTGACTGCTATCTTCAGATTTACCAAAGACAAAATAACAATAAAAGTAGGGTTTATGCGAAATTATTTCAGTTTAAAAGAAAAATTCGAACAAAAACTGTAAATTTTCCAAAAAAAAAAAGAAAAATCGCCAGTACATTTTTCCTATTTTTGTGTTCGCTACGCAACACATTGAATACTCAGTCAACGAAATTGGCTGCTTGGTTGATGGGTCTCGCGCGGAAGTATCTTTGTGTAGATTTACGGGCAGGAGAAATTCAACAAAAACGATTTTTTTGTGTCAAAAAAATCTTGTGCGGATGTTGAAATTGCAAAAATTGAAGGAAAAATAAGTAACTGTTTCCGATAGGTTTATTTAGTTTTTAATACTGACATATCTATTGTTACTTTAAAAATGCAGTTCGAGATGAAGACGGTTTCAATTAATTCGTTCCAGATGGTGAAACGATGCAAATAATAATTGAAAAATGAGTACTGCAAAAGTCGTTCCAACACCTTCGACTACATTGAGGTACACATGAGAGTTATCACGAGATTTACTATTAATTGCTGATGATTGCAGCTTCGATGCAACTTCTCTGATAAAATACAAGCTCTCGGACGAAGTTCTCGCAAAAGTTGCTGCTTCCGGTTCACTTAGATCTTCATCATGCAGATCTGTGTTTGGAGGGTTAGAAACAGTCGGAATTGTAATTTTAATGTTCGTAATTCAGCTTGTTCTCCGATGTCTTCCATATGAAACGAAAGATTGGGAAGTGACCCTTTCTCGTAGTCGGAATCTTTATCGAACTCTCAAAGAGAAACATCTGGTAGATCCCCACGATAAAAAGTTTTCACAAGATCCGGAGCTGAACAACCCCTTGGCTTCTACCGAACACAACCCATGGAACACCTTCTTTGAAGATAATGATTTGCGCGACATTATTGGAAAAGATGTATCTCGAACATTTCCTGAAATCGAATTTTTCCAAAACGGTAATATCCGTCAGATGATGTCAGAGATTCTTCTCATCTATGCTAAGGAACACCGCTATGTCAAGTACCGCCAAGGAATGCACGAGATTCTCGCCCCACTGATTTTTGTAATTTATTTGGACAATGAGGGGTTCTTGCATGCAAAAGAAAATGACGAACTGAAAACGTTGACTGTCGAAGAAGAAGATATACTAAATTGCCTGTTTTGCAAAGAATA